ATGTAAATATTGTTTAATCAATTCACATGCTATTCTCATCTCTGTGGGGAAAACACAAAAGGAAGAAAACATTGGAAACTATTTTTTTCTTTCTGACTACAATCATTCTAACCCTTAATTACCTTGTTTTTCCCCCAACAGAGGCATATTTATAATCAATTCTTTATCGACTGAGCATTGTCTGACTTTCAGTAAGCCACATAACCTTAGATAAGCCACATAACGCTTACCACAACCTAAGTTTTGTAGGAGGTATTCCTGCAGGGGTAGTCATATGCAATATTTTAGTAATAAACCGCCTTGCTCATTGCCCAGGAGAACACAAGCATTTTTTTTCACAACGTCCCAAGGCCTTTGAGAATGCCCTACAAGTAGTAGGTGCTTAATGAATGTTTGTTGAATAACTACATAAATTGAAGAATAAATGAAGCTTCTCATCATTAGTAAGCATAAAACTTCTATAAGTTTAGCAGCAAGATCAGTCCTTTTCAGGAAGTGAAGTGGTGATCTAATAACTGATATAACGAGAATTAAGTGCACAAATTAAATATTGCCACATAACAAACAACTCAAAACTTAATAGCCTGAAACAACAATAATAAACATGGCTCAGGAGTCTACAGCTCACTTGAGTTTGCTTATATAACCAGAGTTTACAACTTCACTAAATTTAAAAGTGATACACAATTTTTTGGTGGGTGGGGTAGAGTTGCTTTACAATGTTGTGTTAGTTTCTTCTGTACAGCTAAGTGAATCAGCTATAGGTATACATATATCCTCTCCCTCTTGGGCCTCCCTCCCACTCCCTCTCCCATCCCATCCATCTAGGTCACCACAGAACACTGAGCTGAGCTCCCTGTGCTATACAGCAGGTTCCCATTAGCTGTTTTACACATGGTAGTGTATATATGTCAATCCCAATCTCCCAATTCATCGCACCCCCCACTTCTGCACCCCACGTCCACATGTCCATTCGCTATGTCTGGGTCTCTATTCCTGCCCTGCAAATAGGTTCATCTGTACCATTTTCCTAGATTCCACATATATTCGTTAATATATGATATTTGTTGTTCTTTTTCTGACTTACTTCACTCTGTATGACAGACTCTAGGTCCATCTACATCTCTACAAATGATCTAATTTTGTTCCTTTTCATGGCTGAGTAATATTCTATTGTATATATGTACCACATCTTCTTTATCCATTCATCTGTTGATGGACACTTATGAAATGTCCATGTCCTGGCTATTGTAAATAGTGCTGCAATGAACATTGGGGTGCATGTGTCTTCACAAATTTTTATCTAATATACCATTCATGTTTCAATTTTGTCACTTGGCTCAATGTGTTTCATTGTATTTGTTTTCCTCCAGTATGTGATGTTGGAATAGGTCATTGAAAGGATGTGACCATCAGTTGTCCCATGAGCTGGACCTGGGCAATCAACCTCCCCTCTCTTTGGAGTGTATGTTCTACCCATAGTGGGAGCCGTTTCAAGGATGCAGCCTTGAGAGAGCACTGTGTTGTTGAGACCATCTGGATGGTATATGTGACTGAACCCAGTTAAGGCCTCTGTATAACTTTTAAGATTCTGGCAGGCAGGTGTAGAGATCTACTCGCCTTATGGCCACCCAAGACAAGCCTCATATATAAGTTCTCTTGCTTGTTAAACCTGACACCTATCAATATTGAGGGGTCTGCCTCTTTCTTCAGTCTCTTCTTGCTGTTTGTGTTAGGGGTCAGGAGACCAACACGCAAGGCCCTGCATGTAAGTGTCATGTCTTCATCTATTTTAATTTTTAAAGTTTCACACAGCCTTTTTTGCTCCTACAATATTGATACAGTTAAAGAATACATTCTATTTTGGGTCAGTCTAAAGCTTTCTCAGTACTAGAATCAGATGCATTTCTTGCCTGAATACCTTATAAGAATTATCTTGTCTTTGTTAGAATATCATACCTGGAAGTGTCCATCTATGCTTCATTGATGATTTAATTATTGATTGCCTGTTTGATTTCTCAACTTTGTAGCTACTATTTTTTTTCCCCTTGCAACTTATTAGTGATCTGTAGAGTGACATTTTAAGATCATGTAAGACGTAATATTATTTTTTCTTCTTAGCCTATTGCTTTTTTATTATTATGTAATATTATTTCTCACTATTTTCAATTTTTCCTTGAGCTCTATTTTTATCCTAAAATATTTTTGCTACATCAGATTTTATGAATCAATTATTGATTAATTAATACTTATTGATTTTTTTGATGAAATGATCGATTTCCTATTGTGTCCATTTTAGATATTTTCTTCATTTTGAAAATTTCATTTTATACTTCTCTCTTGCAAACGAACGATAAGGCAAATTTTTTTTGTCCAACTAGTGATTGAAAAATTACACAAGTTGGGATTCCTTATATCTTTAGAATTCTTACCATATTTATAATTTTTGCTTTCTGTTTACCCACCTCTTTTATCTTTTTCTTCTCTCCTGACTTTTCTTCAATTTTCTTTTCCATATATTCTTCCCTTCTACTTTCTACACTTCTCATTATAAACTGTAAAATATGTTACTGTGTGGTTATTCTTTAAAATCCTACATACATAGCCATAAATACTTATTATGATGTGAAAAACAATTCACTACTTTTGTCATCTTCAGAAACACAACCTAGATGTTATCAAGCTTTAACTATCAGGGAAAAACTTTTATGCTCACTTCTATCTTCTATTGTTTTAATACATCATTAGTTTTAACTTAAAAGAAGTTTCTTAACACTGAATATGTTCATGTTTCTTGGAATTTTAGTGTTCAAGCTTCACTTTAACTACATTTTTTTTCTTTTGCTCTATTGCTTCTTTCCTTTCCTCTAATCTTTCCTCTTCCCCCTCCCTCCCCTTTGTTAAGTTTCTTCCATTCTCTCTAACAGACCTGAGTTCAGAACCCAGTCTCTTAAAGGCATTTTAAAAAATGATGCCCTTGGATGATGTGAAGATACTGTAGATTCATTCACAAGTCTAGTTGGTAACTTGGCTTAGTTCTGTTTACAACGCTATATCTTTATATTCCAGAGATGCCTGGTTATAGTTTAAAACAGAGATTTGGTTTCAGGATCCTTCTGGGAATTACAATGCTTCACTTCACTTTCTGGATTTACCTAGTGAGCCAGGCTTGCCTCGTCATCCAAGGGAAAACTCTTAACTATTGTTACCTGGTAGAAGCCCAATTCCCAGCTGCCACTGGCTGCCTCCAGACCCTGAGCCCACAAGATCAATGGTTTCACCTCTAATTATTTCTTGTCATTTTTATATATGTTTAATTTCTGTCTTTCTTTGGATCCAGCTATGCCATTTTCATATTATAATAACCCACCATTATAATTGCTAGTTATACTGACCTTATCTCTTGAGTTTCTCTGTTCTTTTTAGATCTTGGCTACTTTATTATCTCCTGGGCCTTGGTTTGTAACACCACAGATACACTTTGTGGCCCTCAAATTAGCCTCTTAAAGCCAACACATTCTTCTTGGTTTTAGTGAACAGAAAGAATTTGTTGATTCTGTAATTCTGGCCCCTTGAATGGCAGGAGTCCTTTGACAGGTAGAAATCAGAGCTATCAATTCTCTTATTTTAGTTGAAGTTTCTTTAATTAGCATAGGTTATATTATTCTTATGAATTGCATATTCCCTAAAGTCTTTGAAAAGGGAAATAAAAATCTTTTTTATGTAAAAGAGTTATCAAATTATAACTTTTTTCTTCCAGAATGATTGAACTGAAATTTTCTAAGTGTGAGCATAATGGCCAATTATTCTGAGCAATTATCTTTTATTTTGTTTCTTCTCCAGAGTCTACATCATAGTGTGGCTAGAATCATCATTTGCTTCATTTATTTGTTTCTTCTTTTGTGGCAAACTTGTTCTATTTCTCTTTCCCTCCCCCCCAGTTCACTAATGCCCTAATATTTAAATGTTTGTTAATAGTTTAAGATTTTCTTGAGTTTTAAATTTTTATTTAATTTTTTTTTGGTCATATGTTATGGTACTTCTTATCCATTATTGCTGTTAAAATGCAGGTTTCATTAGGTTAATGAAAGAATCTACTGACATTCAGGATCCCATGTCTGTGGACTAGTTGGTTAAATTACCTAAGTAAAACATAGCTGAAGTAATAATTTTAGAGAAATTAGACACAGAATGGGAGAGTTTGGATTAAGAGCTTTAATAAATTTCTCTCCTCTTAGAGTGCAGCTGCGGGATTAAAGGGAATTTCATAGAGCTGGGATTTGTTAGAAAGTTACTGAATGCTAAAAGAAAGATGATAAAAAGGGGGAGGGCAAGGGTTCAGGTTCATCTGGGCAACATGAATAGGTAGATAATTTCCTTCAATGTTTTGCCAGTTTGCCTAGTTGAGTTTACAATTTTATATGGCTTTAGGTCTTATTTACGATGTTCTGAGTGGATTTTTATAAAAATGGAAATAGTTGCTCATACTTTGCATAAGATTTGAAGTTTTCAGTGTTAACAGTGACAATAACATACTAGCTCACAGTCATTGAGCATTTACTATATGCAATGCCCTGTGCTCAGCATTTGCAATATATACCTACCCATGAAGTAGTTGCTCTGAGCAAAACAGCTAGTAAGCAGCAGGGCCAGGAGTCAATCCTAGGTCTGTGAACAAGAAATGTTTCCTCATTCTCTCATGCCCTTTCTATAAGTACTTTACACATTTATGATGATGTACCCTGTAGCCTTTCTGAACTCTACTCATCCAGACACAGCAGTTTGAACCTTAGTTGGATGCCTGAGAATGTGAAATTGATGGTTGGTGGCACTGGTGCAGGGAGAGCATGTAGCTTTAGAGCTAGAAAAGCTACTTTCTATCATATAATTGGAGAGCCAAAAAGAGTGACTGACCCTTGAGAAGGGAGGAGGTGTTATTCATCACACTATCCTAGATAAGTGTCCCTTATCATGGTAGTAAATAATCCAGGTAGGCTTACCTTAAACCTTGGAAGGATTCCTGTCTCCAGGGAAAGAGATGTTGCCAGAGCGGCTGCAGCAGAGTGTGTCAGAAAGGAAGAGCCAGCCCGCAGAGATGAGTCCAACACCAAACGGGGCTGCCCAGAGAACTGGATCTGCATCTGATTGACAGATGGCAGTCAAAGCCTGAGAAAGAAGAAATAAATATCAACGTGGCTGATTTGAGACACCCGGCGTTTAGACCCTGGGGAAATCCTATCAGCACATCTCTGAGGAATGCTTTACTAGTTTAGATATTTAACAAGGACACAGAGGTTTTCACTGAGGTGAGGATGATGCATAGAAAATGCACCCTGGAGTCCATCTCTAAGATTTGTCTCAGTTAAGCCCAGTTCAGTTGCCTTTTACAGAGATCACAGTGGGAGGATTGTGATTAAAAAACCAAAGGGGTATTTTATAAAACTCTCTATAAGATATCTGGGTATAAACAGCCATCATGTAATAATTTTTAAAAAACCAACACTGATTATCAATATTATTCTACTAACATAAGAGGCCCAAACAAGAAAATGAAGAAACTTTGCCAAGGACACTATGCTGTTTTGACAGCTTGTGAGATCTATTGTCTCAAAATTGTAGGGTGCCATTCCTATCAAGCCCATAAGTGTTTTATTTTGCTTACAGAAGATGGAGAATATTTTAAAAATATTTTAACTATGAAATAGAGAACATATACAGGAAAGTACATAAAACAAATTTACATTTTAACAAATAGACATAATAGCCAAGAAATATAACATTTCCAACATTCCATAAGACCACAGTAAGTACACTTTCCCCACATAGGGTAACTACTATCTTAAATTTGCTTTCCTCGTAGTTTTAGTAACTACGTATGCCTTCAAAAATATATAGTTTACTTTTTAAACACTTTATGTGAAGGTAATATATATTTAAATGGGATATCATTTTTTATACATTTTTTCTTTCCCACAACAGTGCTTATAGAATTTGAGAAAGACATATTCATGTAATTAATATAATTTGTTATTTACCAGGTTACTGTACCGAAGCTTCAAATCAAAGTGTAGGGTAGAAAAATCAAGGTATCAACTAAGGTACAAATTTATGGAAAGTTTTTTTCTGGGGCAATGGGGGACTCTGTATTACACATCTCTCAATCTTACAAGCTATGATAATTGCCATTACAAAGTTTAGCATGCTAGAATAATTTATATTTGTGAATGCATGGTTGGATGGTTGTCTCCCAAATGGCAATATGTAATGGACTTTCAGTCCCAAGATTGGAGTCAATTTTTTTTTAGATCCCAAAGAAGATTCTTTATTTTTACCTCCACCTTTCTGCTATTCAATTAGTATGTACACTTCTGGGTACCTTCAAAAACAAACAAACAAAAAAAAGCAAACACAACAAAACTTGCTTGAATAAGATACCAAGTGATTTGGATAGAGTTATCCTACATCAGATATCAGATTCATCAAGAGTCCTTTCAGTAGCTACTAAAATATACATTAAAAAAAATGTATATGTGAAGCTTGCATATACAACCTGAGTTTCTCTTGACCACTCCAACTTATGAATAGTAAGGATTCACAGTTTTAGTAATAATTAAATTCATCTAACACTCACCTGTACTTTTTTTTTTTTTTGCAGTATGCGGGACTCTCACTGTTGTGGCCTCTCCCGTTGCGGAGCACAGGCTCTGGACGCGCAGGCTCAGCGGCCATGGCTCACGGGCCCAGCCGTTCCGCAGCATATGGGATCTTCCCGGACCAGGGCACGAACCCGTGTTCCCTGCATCGGCAGGCGGACTCTCAACCACTGCGCCACCAGGGAAGCCCTCACCTGTACTTTTAATGCAATATTTTAGTCCACCTTAGGGTCACCTCCAGGTATTTCTGGGAAGTATACTCAAGTATTTCTTGAGGGGTCTGACATCCTCTCTTCCTGCTAAGCAATAGTGCTGTGCCATTGTCTCCTGCTCAACATTCACAGATTGCTGCTTTGTTCATTGGACAACAATATCATCTTATGGAGATGAGGAACCACGTTCCTTAGGATGGTAAACTCTTTGGTGTTCTGCTGCAAAGTGAATCCTAGCACTCCTTTAGTTTTACTTAGTGTTAGTTCATAACCATCCTCATCCTCCTCCTCATCATCATTTTATGCTTATTTACCCTAAAGCTGCTGTACAGAATTTTTAGTGAACAAGGTTTTTAAATTTCCATCAACAGGTTTATTGTGGTTTGTAGGCCTAAGATATGAATCAATGAGGGGCTGATCTATTCTGGGAGACAAATATTAGTGGCAAAGACAAAGATGTGCTCAAAATTGACCCTTTTCTCTGAAGACTAAGACTTTCTTAGTCAGATAACATGAGTTCTTCCCTGAGACTTAGTACAAACTCACAAGACTCTTTAGTCTTCATGCCACATACCAGTCTGACAAATGCTCTAGAGATTTCTTAATCCAATGGATGCAGGATTAGCTCAAGTGGGATGCCAAGTGTGCAAACATTTGCTATTTTTTTTTAAATTTTTATTGGAGTATAGTTGATTAACAATGTTGTGTTAGTTTCAGGTGCACAGCAAAGTGAATCAGCCATAGATATACACATATCCAGTCCTTTTTAGATTCTTTTCCCATATAGACCATAACAGAGTATTGAGTAGAGTTCCCTGTGCTATACAGTAGGTCCTTATTAGTTATCTATTTTATATATAGTAGTGTGTTCTATGGTTTTAACTGAGTCCACCATTGAGAGGTTGGAGATATGCTACAGTATATGTTGCCATGGCTACCAGCAAGCTCTTTCACTTATTTGCCTTTCTGTTTGTGAGAGTTCAGTTCTAGCTTTATTAAAATAGGACAAAAAATAAGGTGAGAAGTAGACTAAGGGATAGGTAATTCTGGCCAAACACATAGTTGAAGAGGCCAAGTAGTCAATATGAATAAATCACATACTGTGTTCACAATAATACTGATCCAATAATATTTTCACTAGAAATTCTGCTATATTATTCTAGTACACATTTTGCTACTACAAATACATGTTGGGGAAGTATGGTGCAATGGAAATGAAACTTGGTTTTGAGTCCCATCTCTGCCATTGCCTTCCTGTATCACCATGTGCTGCCCATTTCTCCTTTCCTGGCCTAAGTTCTTTAACTATCAAAAAAATAAAAGTTTGGGCTTCCCTGGTGGCACAGTGGTTGAGAGTCCGCCTGCCGATGCAGGCCAAACGGGTTCGTGCCCTGGTCTGGGAAGATCCCACATGCAGCAGAGCGGCGAGGCCCGTGAGCCATGGCCGCTGAGCCTGAGCGTCTGGTGCCTGTGCTCTGCAACAGGAGAGGCAGTGGGAGGCCCGCAAACCGCAAAAAAAAAAAAAAAAAAAAAGAAAGTTTGAAGTAAGTGATAGTTTGAGGTCTATATAGTCGTCACAGTCTATGAAACCCACCATTTCGCATGCTGAACCAATCTATTGAAAATTATACTTAGATCTGTCAGTGAAAGTTGACTACAGAATTTTTTGCCTTTTAATGACCATTTAAAATACTTGGTCCACACAAGAGAAAGTAAGTTTTTCACAGAAAAGTTAAGCTTTTGGAAAATCGCATAGTATATATTGAAGAACATTAGACATTTATACACTGTATTTTCTTGCATTGATATGACCAACATTTCTTTATACTATAAAATTTATAGTACTAATATAGAAGACCAAAAGTGCCTCTTTCAAATCACATACAAAGCTGAAGTTCATATCAAAGAGTTTGCTTTTCTTACGCATTTTTTTAAGCCAACAACGCTGTATTGATATGGAGGAATCATGAAAGAAGATGAAGAAAACAATGAGGGGAGAGTAGCATTCTTCATCTTATTGCTAATAAACAGCCAATTGTTTATTAAAACTCCCTTTGACTTTAATCTGGAATAAGTGGATTTTAAATATGATTCATCCAGACACAGCTTTTACTGGGTTGGCCAAAAAGTTCGGGTTTTTCCATAACAACTTACAGAAAAACCCGAACGAACTTTTTGGCCAATCCCCAGTAGACTCATAACTGTTGTCTTGGAATTAATATGTCAGCAGAGCTAAATGTGTTTTTCTAATACTCAGAGGTCCTTAGGAGCTGACTGCTAGAATATTAAGAATTTTAAGTTATTTAATTCAATCCCTTGGTCTGATTCCTCCTGCTCTGGTAAGATAAGTACTGACCTAGGTGACGTAAAACAGTTTATTGCTGAATTCCTGAACTATGGAATTCCCTAGAAGAATCCAGGAAAGCAGTGATGATTTTAAATTAACCTCGAGATAGCTGAATTTAATAAAGTAAAATGGCATAATTACTAGCCAAATGAAAACATGTTTTATATGCTCTGAAATCATTAAAGGTAGTTGTGATTTTAAAAGAAAGTCACAAATACAGGTACATGTGGAGAGAATAAGCTTTTTATTGGGTCCTTAAAATAATTTATCATCTGATACATAGGTATATTGAGAAAGAAAAATATTTGTTTCACACCTCCTTAAAAATGTATTTCTGAATTTAGGGTAATAAATCTTTGCATACTAAGTCATTGTAATTCCACATTTCTCTGCAATGTTCTCCATGAACTCAAAATACGATGCTAAGGTAAGAATTTTTTTGCAAGATTTTTGTTCTGAATTTCAAAATTTAAGATTTGGGAGAGAGTTTATTGATCACTGAAAAAAGACTGTTGTCAATAAAACAGTAATTTGTATTTTAAGCCATAATCACATAAGAGCTTCTGCTGCTGCTGAGAGCTATTGATTGCAGCCTGAAGGGTTCACTCTTTGCTTTTTTAAGGTCTTACAACCATTGCTTTCTGTTGTTAATGAGGCTGAGTTCCATTCTGTGACCCATGCACAGCTCTCACTGATGTGGATGATTGAAAGCCGTTTCCTTCATGAAACTCCCTTGGGTTCCCTGACCTGCACTATGTAATCACCAGGGAATCATACCATACAGAGAAACTTCAGTTCTTTTTGAAGATTGTTACTGCATAAGGTGTATTTAATTAATTGCAATTACTGTTAAATTTAACCTGATATATGAAAAGGGCCATTTGTAGTATCAATACCATATATTTTAAGCAAAGGCATGCTAGTGCCTTTAGAGAGATGCTAGTGTGCAATTGT